GTAGATATTTGCCGCTGTGTTTCGATAAATATTCCTTGACGGAAGAACTATCTTGCATTGGTAATTTTGAGTGCTCCGATATTTATGTACTTTGAAGATGTAATATAAATACACTTGTATATGCATGTATGTAAGTATGTATGTATGTATGTATGTAAGTATGTATGTACGTATGTATGTACGTATGTCTGTATATAAGTATGCATGTATGTATGTATGTACTATGTATATATATATATATATATGTATATATATATATATATATACACACACATATATATATATATTTACATATTTATATATATATATGTGTATGTATGCACGTATATACATACACACATATATATCTATATATAGATATATATATATATATGTGGGTGTGTCTATGTCTGTGTCTCTGTGTGTGATATATATATGTGTGTGTGTATCTATTTTATGTATATATATATATATATATATATATGTGTGTGTGTGTGTGTGTGTGTGTATGTATATATATATATGTATATATATATAGATATATATGTATATTTATAAATATATATATATATATTTATTTATATATATATATATGCAAGTTTGTATATATACATATATTAATATATATATATATATACATTTAATCATGAATTTTTGATTTAGATGTAGATGTAGATGTTTGAGCGTGTACTTGTATTATAGTATGTGACCATATTTTAACATTACACATATAGAGGAGATAGATGCGCCTTTAGTCACGTTCGTGTTTATTTATAGGAGTGAGTCTATTATAATGTAAATACGACTCCTGTTCCGTTCACTTATGTATGAAAAGATACTCATATTTGGAAGACTGCTTCCATTTCGATGGCTATTCACAGTTTGTTGGATGGCATGAACAACGAATGCTTTTCACGGAACGGTTTGTCCGCACAAGTACTGTCTTCGGTACAACTATGTCATTCGCTTTGTTAGATATCAGTACATAGTTCATTCACGGTGTTTCGATGTCGTGTTAGAAACCAGAAATAAGGTCATGTTATGTTACAAACATATTAAAATGTACCTAGTACTATGGAAAACACAAATTCAAACAGTCGTAGTATGTGCAGTTTATAAGTTCTAAAAATATATCTAGTACTGAGAAACTAATTTTGAACAGCTCAATATTCAATTCGTCAGCAGCAGTGAATACCCACATTTAACCTTCCGCATTTACCTTGAGGGTAACGTAGCGTACGAAGAATATATTCGCAATTACTCGCGTACGGCAAGCCGAATGCACCTAATATATTATATATAAACCAAGAAACCTATATTTTCTTCTTTTGCATGATTGAAAGAACCTCTTATTTTTAAATAGCTGAAGATAACAATGTATTAGTAAATGCATATTTGAAATTGCTCGTACAAACAAGTCGATTACATCTATAGTATATAAAAACCAAGAATCCTATATTTTCTTCTTTTATATAATTGAATCTCTTAATTTTGATTCCATGGTATATTCTACTTTGTCAATCAACTATTTAGTTGAAGGCGGAGGCACCAGCGTACTTTGCACTGGCACCAAGCTCCTCCTCAATACGAAGAAGCTGATTGTACTTGGCCAGACGCTCAGATCGGCATGGGGCACCAGTCTTGATCTGTCCAGTACCTAGACCTACAACAAGATCGGCAATAAAGGTATCCTCGGTCTCACCTGATCTGTGTGAGACCATGGTGGTCCATCCGGCGGCCTTGGCATCATTGCAAGCCTGGATGGCCTCAGAGATCGAACCAATCTGGTTAACCTTCAATAGAAGCGAGTTTACGGCCTTCTTTTCGATACCAATCTTGATACGTGCGGGGTTGGTTACTAGAAGATCATCTCCGACAACCTGACATTTACCTAGGCTGGTGAAATGACTGTACGACTCCCAATCATCCTGGTCAAATGGATCCTCAATGGACACAACAGGGTACTTGTCGCAGAATTCAGCAAGAGTGGCAGCTAGACCCTTACCGTCAACCCAGGTAGAGGGATCTGACTCGGGGTTCTTGAAGTCAAGATCGTACTTGCCATCCTTGTAAAACTCAGCGGCAGCGATATCCATAGCAATCTTGATCTTGCCGGTGTATCCTGCAACATCAATTGCCTTTACCAACATATCAAGACCCTCCTCGTTGTCCTGAATGTTAGGGGCGAAACCTCCCTCGTCTCCGATGGCGGCGGCGTCCTGTCCGTATCTCTTCTTGATCAACTTCTTCAAGTTGTGATATGTCTCTGAACCCATCTTCATGGCCTCAGTGAAGGTGGTGGCACCAACGGGGCAGATCATGAACTCCTGCATGGCCAGCTTGTTACCGGCGTGCGAACCTCCGTTGATAACGTTGAAACAAGGTACAGGTAGACTGATCTCGCGACCGGAAAGGTCAGCAATGTGACGGTATAGAGGCACGCCCTTCTTGGCGGCTCCGGCCTTGCAGGCAGCCATGGACACACCAAGGATGGCGTTAGCTCCAAGCTTACCCTTGTTGGCGGTACCGTCCAGTCCGCATAATAGATCATCAACAGCCTTCTGATCAGCAATGTCAATGTCCTTTCCCACTAGAGCAGGGGCTAGAACGTTGTTTACATTCGCTACAGCCTTGCTGACACCAGCTCCCATGTAGTCGGAACCTCCGTCACGCATCTCTAGGGCCTCGTGGATACCAGTGGAGGCACCAGAGGGCACAGCGGCTCTGAACATACCATGTTCAGTGGTAAGGTCGACCTCAACAGTGGGGTTACCACGAGAGTCGAAAATGGAACGGGCGTGTACACGTGTGATAGGCATATTGTATCTTTGAGATGTCTATGCGAAAAAAGAAAACTAATTGACATATGTCGATTTTGTTTGTTATTTGTACTACTTTTGAGTCTTTGACACAAAAGTATTTCGTTTCTGTAGTCTGTTGCGCAATTGATGTAGAAGACTAGAAGCCTGTGGAGTCCTTTCTCTCTCTGATGAAAGATGTGTTGTTGTTTTTTTCTCGAAATAGAGCACGGGCGAATAATATTTTAGATAACCTGTATCGGATTCATCACGAGATGTTTCGATTTTTCAAAAATAATTACTCTTTCACCCTAACACCATAGCCAACATTTCCCTTTTTAGCTGTTTTTTTAAAAAATCATAGTTTCTATATATAGTAATTGTCAATTAATTTGTAATCGTTTTTTGATAACCGTAATTGGCCGACGAGAATTAATACATTTTGTGAAATGGAACGTGACGTGAGCACAAACTAAACACTGGAATCAATCTAAAATCACTAGTAATCAGCAATCTAATCGAACAATACAGAATTCTGATATTATATATGTAGTTACGTTTTCCCCATTTGTTTACATCATTTACAAATAATCATCACAAATTAATAATAAACAATAATAACACTTTCCCGAACGTGCGAGGAATTGGTGCTTATCGCACTGTCTGTAATAGAGCACGCGTAATCAATTATTAAGGCCTACTATTCGATATATGATATATATCTATATATGATAAAAAAAGTTGGTTGGTTTAACATATACTTGTTAATTAGCTAGTGCTTGTATGTATGCCATATTCTAGCTGTTCACATATGTTCATCACGTGCACCACATAGTTCAACATACTAGTTGTTTACATAACGTTCATCACGGCGACAACACAGTTCAATATAGTTCGAACAAATTCTCAAAGGTGTGTTTGTATTAAAAATGTTGTACCAGTTCATATGTGTATACATTCGTCCATCTTTGTAGGCTATGTTAATTAGTGTGTGCATAGTTGTAGTATTGTAGACGGTGATGTACTCTAATATATTTCTATATATATATATGTATGTATATGTATTTATATGTATATATGTATACAGGTATATGTACTCTGAAATATATATATATATATATGTATACATGTATACTTTGATTATTTGGGGGTGTTTGTGTGTACATGCTTCTACAAATCTACCATGTATGAATGCATGTACTTGTATATATTCGTTTGTATACATGTTCTTATGTATATATGATATAATTTATGTACGTAAATATAAACATGTTATAATTTATATGTATATATGTATACAGGTATATGTACTCTGAAATATATATATATAAATATGTATACATGTATACTTTGATTATTTGGGGGTGTTTGTGTGTACATGCTTCTACAAATTTACCATGTATGAATGCATGTACTTGTATATATTCGTTTGTATACATGTTCTTATGTATATATGATATAATTTATGTACGTAAATATAAACATGTTATATACCACTTACTTATTTTTTACTTGTACTTTTATATGTTCATTTACTCGTACGCATAAATGCATATCTGGATAATTATTTACAGAGTACATCCTTCATAATATACATATATGTATATATAAATAGTGTCTGTGCATCATGCATATTTATATTTATTTATTTATTTCGGGTGCACGTGCATGGGGCAATAAAGTTCTATCTTGATGTTGATCTATAAGAAAGCTATGTACATGTTAGTATATATATTTCTATTTTTTGGCGTTTTATGTAAATCTATACAAATGAGTATACAATGTATACACGATATATCTACAAATTTGTTTATATATATATATATATTTCTATTTATGTATTTATAAGGAATTGAGAATGAAACTGAATCGTGTGGGGGCCTTTATTGTAAAGCTTTTCCCATCGTTATATTTGTCATTAACTCTCTTCATCTAACCCACTTTATACTATGTGTGTATTATTTATCTTGAGATATGTATTTTCATCGAAAAACAGTATACCAAATGCTGCATCTGTACGAGGAGACATCAGTACATCTCGTAAAAGAATTGTTAGAAAAATGATACGTCAATTACATCTATGCCTTATAGTTTATCACCAGATGTATAATTATTATATTTAGAAAGCGGGATGCATTTAATAACAAATAGGTACTAAAATACAATGTTGGATTTTTAACATTGTATGTGAACTAAAGGCAACTATACATATTTCGTATTGAAATGTGTACATAAATGTTGTTTGTTACAGATAATATTACATGATATTTGCATCTATGATTGTTGAAATTCGATGAATCGTCAACAAGCCTTTTACATTTACACATATGTACAAGTAGACGGTGTGTATATTTGACATATTCATCTATATCTATATATATATATATGTGTGTGTGTCTGTAAATAGACGGTGTATGTGTGTCAATATCTATTGTTTATCCATCATCTTGTATATTTCGCAAGAGAACTTCATTCACACGCGTGCAAATATGTATTCTCGTTATACATGCGCGATTGTACCGCAAATATAAATATCTATGGCTATCGGACTTAAAAATGTACGGCATACACATGTGTGTGTGCGTGTGTGCTTGTTTGTATATATATATGCTTTTTTGTCGATATATGCGTGCATGGCTTTTGTATCACAAACCGAAATATAGGACCGATATTTAGCGAACAACTAAGTTGCCGAGGACACACCCTCACGCAGCATCACATGAGATAAGAGTTCTTCCGCGATCTTGCGGTACGGTCCAAAAATGAATATTTGTCGAGAAATCTATGAGTCTGGTATTAATTTGGTCTTACACTTCACGGATGATATACAGTTTTTATTAGGATTAAAAACATAAAAGTATTAATGGTGCTGCTATACAAACAATATTGCTATATTTGGTTTGAGCGGAAGGCTGTTTTAAGTGGCAATGATGTTTTACCATAAATATTGGAGGCAATGGAGGGAATGACACTTTCTTGGAAGATATTAATGTATATGCACCTTTTATTATTGCGTATTAAACAAGTCTGTGCTTGCAGAATGTGTGCGTGTAGTATTGCACACTATTCCGGCATTCTCAAGTGTACTCGATTGTACTTTATTATGCAAGTAGGAAACAAACAACAGTAAGTCGCTGATTCTATGTGCACGTACTTCGACTACAAAGGTGCGTGTTGTGTAAATTTATGACTTCCATATAGCACACGTGGCTGTGTGTGACCGTTCCATGGAGGATATTCGCAAATGAAATACCCACATTGCTCGTGTAACTACGTCGAATATTTTTGTTTCGGGCTAGATATATGACCAAAAGGTTTTTATTCTTCCACATTAGCCGCACACACCTGAAATAAAGCATTTGAAAGTCGCGAGATAAAACATGCATTTGTTGATGGATAACAACTCTTATTCACCATTCAAGTTGTTATTCCACGAAACCATGCGATGTGCTCCGCATGCACCATTCCAGAGACATGCCAGTCGCAATGCCTGGCCATGCGTAATAAAAACTACATTATGATTCTCCTGCGACTTTTGTTGTGTTGATTTTCATGCGACTCCCTGCAGAGGATACTGCGCCAAGTTTCTTGCCACCACCAGACGCTTTGAGTAGATCCTTCTCGTACTTTTCTCGTTGTCTCTCCATTTCTTTCCGCTTCTTCGCTCGCACGTCCAGCTTCTCCTTGCGTTCCTTTCGCTCCATTTTCTCTTTCGCTGTTTCTTCTATTGCTTTCGTCTTCTCCTTTGCGGGTTTCTTCTTCCCGGCCCTGTTACCGAGAGATTGCGAAGTATTTATTAGGGCTATGGTCATACGCTGAGTGTGTGGACAGGAAAATGATAAATCTACTCAATACCACGTCCCTGTATTCGTGTACATGCGCCAACTCATGCAGTTTGTTGTGTACATATTCTGATACATAATTGTGTACATATCCCCCATTATCATAAGGCAAGACGAATACAGTACCGATACACTAACATAATTCATGGCAGGCGCACGATACATACTTTTTAGCTGCGGTTGCTGCCTCGGCAGTAGCTTGCTCATCTGCAAACTTTTGCTCTGCATGCTGGCGTAGCACATTTTTATAAGTGGGAGATAACAGATACTCCATCAGCGTCTGCATTCCTTTACAGGCTTGTTCATCCTGTGTCAGGGTTGTTACGAAGCGTATTGTGGTGAGTAGAAATATATACTATATCTTATTAAGAATTTGATAGAATGGTTTAATCACCCTTCATCATTTTAGCAGCCGTTTTTTTACTGTACCATGTATAATGTTGACTTTTCCTCGTTCTAAAACACCTTACGTCGGTGTGCTTGTATTTTTTACTTTCCCCTGACCGTTCCGTATTTATGCAAGTATTTGAAGGAAACTTGTAATAGCGAGGACAACACAATAACTACATACTAATTCCGGGATATACGGGTTGTCCGCCATTTTCAGGGTCATATCCTTGAAATGGAAGGACCTTTTCCCCAAACTTGATGGTAGAATTTCCAGTTGATTGTTTTGTATCATTAGTTCCTTCAACTGATCGCAATCACCCAGGCTCACGGGCAGTTTCTTCACATCGTTGTTTCTTATTGAGAGCTGCAATGATAAGTCGGGAGCAAGTGATCAGATTCGCAGCAGGAATACGTATATCTGTGTTGTCATACTGTTTCAGAAAAACAAATATTGGCAGTTCCAGGCAAAAGCCGATTTATAAACTGTACATACCGTTTCAAGAGCCTTCAGATTACCCATCTTTTCTGGCAAGTATACTAAGAAATTATCGGCCAAATGCAACACTCGAAGTGATTCTGAGTAAGAAAATTGAAATACACCTGTCAATATATTGCATGTAATCCCATGCATGTGAAGAATGATACCTCTGATCTGATAGAATCAAATTTGTATTTACATAGTCGGCAGACGTCAAACAGTGCAAACAGACATACCCAGTGACTCGAAATTGGCAGGTAGACATTTTAGATTATTGATACTAGCATCAAGACACTGGAGCTCTCCCATACTGCCAATCCCTTTTGGTAAGCTGAAGAGCTGGTTGTTACTGCGGAGAAATTTTTAAATATGAAGATCTACAATAGTGCATGTTTCGATATGTCAACGATATCGCACAATTGGAACTCGTGACATCGATAGGTCTACTTCTGCGTCTAGTTTGATATCATCAACGCTATACACAAAGATTGCTCATTAGTACTGATACTTTACAACTTTCATAGGTTGCAAATATCTTTTCAGCCAGACAACTCTCACATTAGCAAAATTATCCCATACCCAATAACCAGCACCTCCAATTTAGGGAGCATGGTAATTGCCGTTGGTAGCTCCCGCAATTTATTACCGAACAGATTGATGTACTTCAGTTTGGACAAGTTTGCAATCGCTATAGGTATCTCTGTCAATAATAGAGTTAGTACTGGCAAATCAGTATACGGTCTGTCCGCGACTCGAACTATGGTGTGAAGGGAAAGGGATCGCATATTCAAATTGATATGAAAACGGTCCTAAGTATACGTTGTGCAAACGCAAAATAATATGTATATATGTATATATTCATTATATGTATGTATGTATATATATTTATATGTATATATATATATATGTGTGTGTGTGTTTGTGCGTATATATATATATATATGTGTGTGTTTGTGTGTGTGTGTGTGT